AAAGACTAAGGTATTGAACCTAATAAATCAACATGTGTCTGACCAATATGGATCGAAGAGTAGCAGTTGAATCCCAGTGAAGAGAAACAACAATATTTAAACGAGCAAGTTGAACTGAAAATTGATTTAATTTATTTTTAAAATTTACTTGCTTTCATTGAATGTGTATTACAATTTTTAGGAAGAGAGAAGCGACCAATAAAAAGCTGCCATACGACACATTATGGTGGGATTCGAACGCAACTCTTGTGTGATGAAAATACTTTCTTCAACATCCAGTGTTTCCGGTTGAAAACTAACTTCATTCAGATCGATGTACAGGTCGCATTTGTCATTCCAGATATATTGTTCACTTAACAAGCCATAATAACCAGCTGTTTCAGTTTCAGATGGTAATAAATCTATCTCAATGGGAATGTTGCTTATTTGAGGGAATACACAGCTAGCGAATTTGGCTTCATCGATCACCTGAACCTGTTCAGTCCCCACTCATAGAATCACTAATCGAATTTAATCAATCAGTTCACTTAATTAACAGTCTAGTTATCATTTACCTCCTCTCTTTTATTGTACTGCAAGGAAGAAGTTATCAACGGCCCAATTTTCTGAGGGTACAATTAAACCAGTCAGTTAGGCAGTAGTGCTGAAGTAGTGCTGACCTCAGTACCCCCACAATGAGAACAACAATACAGTCAAGGAAATCTGTCGAGCGGAAGATAGTCCTAATATTTTAACTCAAACCCAGCGCAACTAGGTGAAACACCCTGCTCCTTATTTCAACCAATCACATCCCGTTTCATGCTGTTTAGATTCAGACGTTAGGATTGGTTGGTGCATCATAAAGTTGAATAAAACGGTGGACAAAATAGCTGCAAATTTATTCGTTGAATCCAAAACTCCCAATCAAATGGAAATGCAGCGAATTCAAATACTGACCAATAGGTTGGTCTGGAGCTGAAACAGCCGAAATAGTAAGATGAACACCAATGAAGAAGTAAAAAAGCCTAACGTTTGTGTGTTATTTTGAGTGATGTAACTGCAGTTTGATGAATTCGTTTACTCCTCTGTCCTGCAGATCGGTTTCCCATACAATCCGACTTCGAGGTACTAGGAGACTTTGTCACTCAGTCCGAAGATGACTGCATTTATGCTCGTCGGTTGATTGCATTCAACGAGCAAATCTGTCTGGTTCAGCTCCGAACAATTTTGTCCGTAAAACTGTGGTGATCCTAGTCTACGAGGTGACGCATACCACGGAGCGACGCGTTACAGTTTCAGGACAACTGTGATCAATCGGACTTTACGGGTGATGTCAGTAAAGAGTGTGCCTGTCACTGCTTATGGATTACATACCATCGATTGTACCAACCAATCATGGAACGTACGGCCCAGACAGAAACTGAAAGACGCCAGAAATACTAGCACGCGATTGGCATAGGCTCAAATGACCAATGAGCTTGTTCTGTACATATTATTTAACCCCCTGATTTCTTTCAATGAACGAACTGCTATTCCTGTGGTCTTTTTCTCGCGTCTAGGCTCCGTGGGATACTGTCGTGCAAGTACCAGTGTGATCCAGTGCTTTCGTGGCGTCCGTGATGACTAATTTGTGATTCCTAATTCATGATTCGTATTTCGTGTTCATTTCGTGCTACTACTACTACCACCAATACTACAATTACTACAAAACTCACTGAATTTGACAAGAATAACTATGGTTCAGGGAGCAGCCAACTCTCATTCTTCCTCTCGCCTATTGCAGTAACCGCTGTGGTAACCTCCTGATGCTCCAAGATTTCGGGAATATTACATTTCTAGTGATACTGTCCGTCTAAACTTACTTTATAAACCGTTTTGAACACATCTTCTTAGCTAAATAGATCACATCTTCCCAAGCTCGAACAACACTCTCCCATTTGACAGTCGATATTTTGTGTTCCTTCAAATAATTGAATAATCATCAGATAGAGAGCTATTGAATGCAAGAACATATATGCTCTTTCCCTTCCTTTTCAATCTGTTACATATTTTATCTGGCTGACAACTGGTCATCAAATCCTCATAGCAATCTGAATGAACAATCCCTAACTGCGTTCAATTTCGTCTATCTCCATCCGAAGTATTTCCTGGTATTAATTTCTCACGTTTTCTACCTTGAAGATAAATCAACCTAACAGACGTTCATGTAAAAGGTGGACAGGTGGACTCACTCAAAGTGCATTGAAAAAATCCCATTGAACGGCATTGCATTATTAGAGTAGAAAGCTTGGATTGGCCCATTCGATTGTTCAGAGGCACCACACACTCTTGATGGTCGCAAGTAGATGAATGAAGCGAAACCCACACCTAAGATCATCCAGAGTTTCTGGTGTCTCTGACCAATCGAATGGGCTAATCCAAGCTTGATAATCTAAAATTGATTTATAATTGATTTGTACAAGTTGATGGTCATCGATCGTGTAGCTCAAGCGTAAGAGTTTGATGTCCCGATCCAAATGTTCATATTTCAAGTCCTGACAGGGGCACAAAAAGTATGCATTGCTGACAAGCCCCCCAAACAGGACGAAACAGATGTCCAATGCGCTTTGTCGGTTATCACAAACATTTTCATCGTATGTAAAGGCATTGTATTAGGTTCACTAAATCTACCGTTCATCGGTACTCTGTTGTGCTGAACCATTCCCAGGAGAGTGTGTGTGAGAGAGAGAGAATGAAATGGAAATCCAAAGGAAGGACTGGATCGATCACACACACACATCCTGAAAACAACTATTTTGTCTCAACTCATGGGTAAGTATGTTGAGTTCCTGATTTTTTACTGGTTAAGGATTACTGTTCAGACAATTGTAAGGATGCAACGATATAAAAAAAGCAAAGTGATTTTGAACGACGATCGGCTGGGGGAATTATTGCATCAAGAATCATTGTCTGTCATCCAGGAGGACAAATCCAGCTTGGCGACTATTCAAATGCAAGTATAATTAGAGTAGTTTGCTTTTTTTTAATACTTACTTGTATGAGCCTGTGAGGATACAAGGCAGTCAGGCTTCATTGAAATCTTTTTCATGGTTTGAGCCTAGATCCCTTTTCACTTTTGCGCATGAAGCACACAAAGGTGCAAACGGAATAGGGTTTAGGTGAATGAGACTTTGTGTTCTGTGGGAATCTGCACAAACCGATGTATCAGATTACAGTTTATGTAAACGTTCTCTTTTGGGGGTACTTTTAATGGTCACTAATGAATACACATGTTTTCCCATATAGTCAGTGAGACATCTACAAAAGTGGTAACCGTACTTCATCGGACGTTCCAACTGCTTCACCGGGATCTTTCCAAAAAATCTACACCTTTTCTCATCAAGCTTTAGCCAAAACTAGCAATCCTTCAACCCTGACCCGTAATCCTTTAACCAAAACCCGGAATGCTTTAGTCAAAACTTAAAGGATTGCGGGTTTTGGCTAAAGCTTAATAGGAAAAGGTGTAGTAAAATCTTAAAGGGCTGAGTTTCTGATTTAATCTACCCGTGTCTACGATTTTCTTACTTAAATCCCCCTATCCCCCGGAACACAAAGAATCTTCTCAGTTAAGCAGAGAAAGAAATTCACCATGGCAGTGCATTTTTACTGACTTTGATGAAAATAAAGCGCGCTGTTCCATTACGTGTTATTTTACAAAAAAAATGAACAATAATAAATACTAGAGCATGTATTGTAAATCGTGTTTGTCAAATTACACCCGCATATTGGTTCCCGGAATATCCAAAGCCAGTTAGTCAGTCAATGTATTGTTGGGACAGTTCATCGCTGATGGTTAACTAACATTACCGAGATTCTAATCATTAATGAGCAACAAAGAAGGGGACATGGTTTCATTTCAAAATGGTAATTATTAAATGAAGCCGGAATACGGAAACTGCCTTGGTTGCTGTAATAAATCTGCAAATTACCGATGAATGAGAAACTCGCGAATGACCATTCAGTGTGCCAGTACGGGTGACGTCTGATTTTGTGTGCTTCGAACTGTCCGCCTGATGTGTATTTGAGTTGACGTGCAAGAGTTGAGTTTTGATCCAATCTCATCAGCCATTCGCCATTCACCGGTAGTGGCATTATTGAAACTCATTCATTGGGCGGCATCATGAATAATTTTGGCAATTTCGCGGTGCATCGAAAACTATACCGCTTGTCTGTTATGTGATTACAATGTCGCCTTACCGGACGCCTTACAGGACGCCTGAGCAATAAAACTACGCACAGTTGCACCTTCGAAATCGGGTGTGGGTAATTTCCAGCCTAGTCGGTCCCGATCATGCACTTGGTAGCTGGGATCATCTGAGGCGGGCGTTTCAACTAATCGTGCGTCACAAATTCGTGAAAACGGGCAGGTAAACCACGCCCAATCGTGTGAGTCACGGTGAAAACTTTGATACCGATCATAACAAAAACCCGCTCAACGCACCCCACAGTGAACAGTGGATTTGAGTTTTAAAAATGCGAACTTCTGCTGAATCGGATGAGCATACAATTCTCGGAATCCTGTATTCGAATCCACTTCCAGTGACTGCATTCTCTCATTTTGTGTGTATTGCTATGACTCTGTAACCTGCTCATAGTGCATTGAAGGATACCCGCTCCCGTGACCATTACTGTTCCCGTCCATTTAAAGATAACCTTATTGATCCCTATGACTAGGTATTTGTGCTGGATGTTGGCAATTCCGGTTGGTGTTCTCTTTGGTCTCCAAACTACATATATCTATTTCAACTCACCCATCGCAATCTGATCGTCAGCATACCGAGCATTCCCGGGGTTGACGGGTCGCCCATAATCCGTCTTGATCTAATTATGAAAAAAGAACATTTCTGCAATATTTCACAAACACTTTCACGCTTACAGGTTGAGTAAACTGGGCTATTCAAATCACTGCTCATAAATCTTTTGAATACATCTATGCTTCCGCTGTGGTGAAACTATCTCTCATACTTCTTATAACCTTAAACAAACGGACTCCAGTACGGTTTCCTGGTCCTCGAAAAGCCTTTTTTGATCTGGTGGTATTAATGGAAATGTATTGTTTGCCTTCCTTGTTCATGTAGTCTTTTTAGTGCATCAACAACTCATGGAGATTGTATTGATTTTCCCGGCGCGTTTCAAATTTTGACTCGCGTTTGTGCAGGCATCCATCTGGAGCCCAAAAACCTATTAATTCAAAGGAGTGAACAATACAGCTACTGTATTTCGTATTTCGCTTTCCGGTTTAAGCTTATGCCATTACTATCTAATCTTATTATATATGGGCCACATATTCGTCACCCTAGGAATGCCTCTACAACAAGAGTCAGTCTTTGGGTTGAAGAAAATTCATCTTAATTTGACGCAACTACCTTGAGCGTAGTAGTAGTAGTAGCAGTAGTAATAGTAGTAGTAGTAGTAGTAGTAGTAGTAGTAGTAGTATTAGTAGTAGTAGTAGTAGAAGCAATAGTGGTAGTATCGGTTGCATGTCAGCAGTTTCGCCAGGAAAGTAAGCGAAGCTAAAAACGAGGATTTCAGAAGTAAATTTCCAAAACTTTCGTCCGGATTTAATTATGTTTGTAGACATGCTTGTAGCATGCTTGCGTCCTGCCTGTGAGGTCCCAGGTTCGCGATCCCCAGTTGGGTCGATGGATTCGAACTGCTGATGAGACCGAACCAGGTCGAAATAGCTGTCCAACAGTGCTTCCTAACTGTTCAGTTTACGCTTTATTTGTTATGTACACGACGACTTTCATTTTGGAAATTTAATCAAACTCTCCATTACCCACATGTATTATAGTTGTATGCATTGTTAGCAACACACAGCTCATATAATTTAACGGTTGTTCATCTTTCCTATCTGCTTTCAGCATGAAAAATATACTCCAAAAAGAAAAATAGTGATGACTACTCATCGTCCAGATAAACATACACAGGAATATCTCCATCGCCATGTTGTCTTACAGGCAGCGACTGGTTTTTCTAAACACTAGTTTTGTGAGTGTTCGTGTATTTTTAGATTAAGATGTGGTTCATCTTGAATCGAATTCCCGGGAGTCTTCATAAATAGAGCATCTATAAAGATGACCTCTGATTACTTAGAAAAAAGTCGCTTACTACTCCAGTATCTACAGGAGAACAAGTTAGAAAAATCTGGAAATTGTTCACGGTTATTGGTAACCCAGAGGCTACTGGGAATAATATCACAAACGATAGTGATTCCCGGTTAGTTGAAGAAGATGAGTTTTGGTGGTGATTCCAGTCTGCGAGATGACGCGTAACATGGAGTGACACGTTACAACTGTGATCAATCAAGCTTCACAGGTGATAGCAACAAAGCGCATGCGTGCCATAGCTTCTGAACTACAAAATATAGGTCGATCGTACCAGCCAATGAGAACCCGTGCGGCCCAGACAGAAGTTGAATAATAGAATGCGATTGTCAGAGGCCTGGATGATCAATGAATTTGTTTGTACATATTATTTAATTCCCCCTGATTTCTTTCAATGAACGAACTACTACTTCTGTGAACTTTTCCTCGCGTCTCGGTTCCGTGAGATACTTTTGTGCAAGTACCAGTGTGGTCCAGTGCTTGAGCAATACAGTTGCTGTGATCTAGGCGTCCTATAAGTTCACAATTGAAACATAGTCTGGACTGACTCCTTCGCTCTTCACATTAGTATGATAGAAATACATCAGCTGTCAAAGTACGCCAACCAAAATGTATCCAACACACCAGTTTGACTGTAATACTTCGTATACGGGTATAAAGGTATAAACGCACTGGAAGTTTCCCACACTCCAACATACCGCATTGGATTCAGTCGAGGGAGAACTGCCGTGTATCATGGAATGCACTTCGGCCGACAGCGAGGGCTGAGCCGATACGGGGAATCGACGTGGAACCCGGAATCCGCAGTAGGATTCCTGATTGGACAGCGCTGAACAGAGCATATTGATTACGAGGGTTTTCTCACTAGATTGAAGAGAAAGTGTAGTGGGATCGTGGATGATTAAGGGGCTAAGAAAAGAATTGTGAGCATATTAATCAAACGCGACAGTTTGCAGCGATCAATCTCAGCAGTTTAGTGGTTTTTCTGCTTCTATGCATAAATAGTTTGGATCGGAAATTTGGCATCAGTCAGTCAGTCAGTCTGTCTGTTTGTCCGGTTACATGTATTCCATTCATCATAATTTTTTGTCCTTTTGGGATGATCGTATGTGAGCCTTGCTTCCATTGATTTCCGATAATTCTTCCCTTGTTTCGTCAATGAGTTTTGGGTTCTACCGTAGCCTTTCTGCTTATGTCAACAAATGTCACAATGCATTTACAATTGATTGTCTTGTTAATTCATTTCAATAAAACATTGAATACAGCATCAGAGGCTCAGTGAATATTTGCTACATATTGTCTATTTGCATTGGTTAACGTTCAAGAATATTATTTAATTAGTGACTGAACGATCGATACTCTCTGTCCCAGCCCCTCCACCGTAGTACACAACTCTGACGAGGTTCACGAACACAAGTTGAAACATGAAGGCGTATAATTGGTTTGTTAAGTTATCACCTTGTCTGATGAGACGAAGTAATTCAAAGTTCAGCATTATCAATGTTCAACTTCTATTCGCCTATCTGCAATAGGCTGAACTCCATGAAGCACAATGCATAAGCACGTTATACATATCCACAGACGCAAAACGAATCACTCGGCAAATCCTTAAGCAGTATGGTGGGAATATAATAATTTCACTTATTTCTGATAAGTGAGGGTTTATGTTTAAAAAAAAGTGGTGGTCCACGCGTACTCAGTCACGTGACTCGTTTGCTTTAGTGGTCTTTGTTCATGCATCCCATACCTGTCTGTCCAATCACCCGGTAACGTGCTGTCACATGATATGAGTGATTCATGCACAAGTGAGGCATGCACGTTTCATGTGAACTTCCATAATTCGTGATACAGCAGCGCTTCGGAATAATTTACAATAGACACGTTATTTACTTGCATGATTGTTTTGATTCAAGTCAGAAAAGCGAATACAGCATCAGCCAAGACCGCCCAAGTGGAACAACCACAATTCACCTGTTTATATGAGACTCCAAAGTAATCACGATCATCCCAACTACCCAGAGCGTTTTGTACTTTTTCTATCCCGAAATAAATGATTCCTGTATTCCAGAAGGACACTGCTTATGTACCAAAACATGGGTTCAGTGTATCTGAAGAGTATCTCAGCATTAAACACAGAGCCTAATGGTAATTGGGCCACTAAGTGAAGTGACATGGGTATGAACAAATTAAAGTGATTCTCGCTATGCAAGAACATTTAATAAAATGCAACTAATAGACAAATTGCTCGAATACTTTTCAGGACTGAAATATTGTCTTTGACGCTTTTTCATTACAAACCTTTGTGGGTGAAATATATATATATATATATGTATAGAAGGGGGTAGACGCCATAGATACTCGAAGTTTCTTTGCATTTATGAAAACCGGCAATATATGGTTGTTGACATGATATGGTGAATCACACGTAAACAGCTTGACGAAGACCCCAGCCGCCACCACCACCACCACTCTAACAACAACAACAACAAGCTGGGGAACGCTCATGATCCAAGCACTGGTTTGGTATACGGGTGAAAACTTCAAATGATTCACTTCAGACAATGACTTTGTCGTTTTTGACCCATCCACCCAGAACTATTGACTTACATATAGATGCTTGAGCAGATTTCAAGGACCGGCTTGCTATCTATCACTGAAACCGAAAGAGATCGTACAGTTGAGACTGATTGAATATTGCAAGAACAACACACCCACAGAGTAGCGAACAAGCTCGTTTGCGGTGATTCGTCTACATACTGATACATTACAATTGATGTCAAAATGTTTAACAGGCAGAAAAAAAATTAACGAAAGTAGGAAGAGATTGTGGGCGGATTCCGATCGCTTCCGTTGTGGCCAGAATGCCACTCCTCATCCTCCTTGATCGACGACTGCGATCTAAGTAGACAAGTCGAAACGCCTCGGCCACATTAACCACTTGACCAATACAGGAACAGGATCAAAATAGATTGAGGTTGTTCGAACACCGCTTTCTACGTCGCATTGCACGAGTCTGGTGAGGAAACCGGACCAGCGCAGAGCTTTAGGCAGTCGCGGTCGTCCACTGGAGCAAGTGATCGACCACCATAGATTACGTTGGTGGGGTCAGGTGTTACGCATTTCACCAGATAGGTGGCCACGGCGA